GAGTAAAGTTTTCAAACTTTTAGATGTTAACAAAGATATGTTGGAGTATAAAAAGATTTCCTAAATAAGATGAAAATATTGACTTTGAAAGAAAAACTGACAAATTTGGCTACCTTATAGAATAAACTTTCTTGTTAAAAGATACTACAAAAAGTTGAAAAGATATACTATGGACTGTGAGAATTTATTGATACTTCATAGACCTGACAGAAACTTAATATTTAAAACGAAAAGTTTTGGTCTGGCAGGTGCTAGATTCCCACATGACTGACCAGGTATGAGACCCAGACCTGGCAAACTTACTTTCTCACTTTCTCTCTGTCTCTCGTCAAATTTAATAATAATGAAATTAATAATCCTTTTTTAAAAATTTTCTGTGTGGGACCAGCAGTTAGCATAATGGCTATGTCGCTGAACTCCCATGTAGCCGACCGCAGTTCGAGGCCCGGACCCGGTGGCTTAAACTCACACCAGGTGTGTGTGCGTGTGTGCCCAAGATCCCGAAAGGAGAATGTAGGAGAAGGGATTGCGGCGTGGCCATCCCCCCTGGGGGGTGATTTCTGTCTCTCTATCTCTCTGTCTTTCTGGCGAGTGCACACACCCTACAGCAAAAACCTTTCCAAAAAAGAAAAAAATGTTTCTGTGTTCATAAGTGACGAACGACCTAGTAGAAAAATGAACTATACGAGGAAGCAGTCATAAAAGAGTAAACCAGAATAGTCAAGGAATTTATTTGTTTATTTATTACTAGTTTCTTTAGAGCGATTTTTGCTATAGGTCGCGTGTACTTGTCGGAGAGGTAAAGAGAGACAGACAGAAAGTGAGAAATCATCCCCCAGGGGAATGGCCACACCATCATCTCTTCTCCTTCGTTCCCCTCTCAGGATCTTGGGTGCACATGTGACCCGGTGAGTTTTAAGCCACCAAGTCTGGGACTTGAACTGGGTCAGCTCTGTGGGAGTCCAGTGATTTAACCATTACCCCATCGGCTGGTCCTTTTTGAGAGACTTTTTTGCTGTAGGGCACCTTTGCTTGCCAAAGAGACAGAGAAAGACAGAGAGACAATAAATCATTGCCTAGAGGGGATGGTCATGCTGCAGTCCTTCTCCATTATCCTCTTGGGATTTTTGGGCATGCACGCAGGCACATGCGCTTGATGTGAGTTTCAAGATGCTGGATCTGGGACTCAAACTGTGGTCAGCTGTGTAAGAGTCTAGTGTCTTGGGACCAGCAGTTAGTGTAATGGCTATGTCGCTGGACTCGCACGTAGTCGACCGTGGTTCGCGTCCCGGACCTGGTGGCTTAAAACTCATGCCTGGCGTGTGTGCGTGCGTGCCCAAGATCCCGAGAGGAGAATGGAGAAGGGATTGCGGCATGGCCATCCCCTCTAGGGGTGATTTCTCGCTTTAGGTCTCTGTCTGTCTCTGTCTGGCGAGCGCACGTGCCCTATAGCAAAAACCTCTCCAAAAAAAAAAAGAGTCTAGTGTCTTAACCACTATGCCACCTACTGGCAGTGGCCTACCGTTTTGAAAAGCAAGGAACAGAATGTGTAATCTACCAGTTGTGCCTTACTGTGGAGATGTAATTATGGATGGTATCTAGTATTAATTATATTATTTTTCCAGTTTTCTAAAGTAAGTATGTGTTTGTTTTATAATCAAAGATTATAAATGTTAATTTTTGTGTAGATTGAAACTTAGGTAAAAGTGAATTTTTTTTCAAGGCATAGCCATAAGTTACTATTTAGTAACTATATACTAACATGGAAACTTCTGAATTTCAGTTTAATAGAATTTTATCTTCTTTCAGGTTAAAGAACTCAATCATTATCTGGAAGCTGAGAAATCTTGTAGGACTGATCTAGAGATGTATGTAGCTGTTTTGAATACTCAGAAATCTGTTCTACAGGAAGATGCTGAGAAATTGCGGAAAGAATTGCATGAAGGTATATTTATGTTTGGTGTATATTATTTCAACCTATGGGAACTATGTAAGTAAAATTGATATTGACTGGTAACAGTAAGAGATCTAAAATACTGTTGCAGCATTAGTGATTCACTACTATAATCTCTGTAGTTAGTTTCCCAGCATGAGTTTAAGCTGCTGGGTTCGGGACTCGAACCGTGGTCAGCTACGTGGGAGTCCAGTGACATAGCCATTACACTAACTGCTGGTCCCAATCTCTGTAGTTAGTTCAAATGCTCTCATGACAAGTCAAAGTCATGAGGACTGCTGAACAGACTTGCACTAGTGACTTTTTTTTTTTTTTTTGAGAAGTTTTTGCTATAGGGCGTGTGCGCTTGCCAGACAGACAGAGACAGAAAGCAGGAAATCACCCCCCAGGGGGGATGGCCACACCGCAATCCCTTCTCCATTCTCCTCTCGGGAATCTTGGGCACTCACGCACACGCGCCTGGCGTGAGTTTAAGCCACCAGGTCCAGGGTTTGAACCGCGGTCGACTACGTGGTAGTCCAGCGACATAGCCATTACGCTAACTGCTGGTCCCGACAGACTTACACTAGTAATGGCTTCTTAGTAATGTCACAAGGCATGAGCTCTGGGCAGAAAGAGAATAAGTTTGGGAATTCCTGTTTTAATGGCTTTTGCCTTCACATTCATTTTGGTAGAGGTGGATTTGTGAAAGTGAGAATAGGAGAAAGAAGACAGACTATTCTGGGGATCATAAGTCACATCCATTTAAAGGACAGTTTGAGTTTCACTAGTCTGAGGACAGAGTTGTATACAAATTAGCTCCACTTTTCAAGGATGAGGAAGAAGGCTTATTTTTTCCCCATTAAAATAAAAATATACTAGGGCCAGCCAGTGGTGTGGGTGAATCCCACCTGGCCAACTGTGTGGCTCAAGTCCTGGACCCAGTGGCTTGAAAAACACATTAGGTACATATGTGTGTCCAAAATCCCAAAAGGAGGGAGAAATGCAGAAGAGATTGCAGCATGACCACTCCCTCTTTCTTCCTGTTTCTGGCTAGTGCATGTGCTCTCTAGTAAATTAAAAAATGTATATATATACACACACATCTTTATCTTTAATTCTTCTAGTAATTTCTGTACTTAAGGTCCTTAACCTTTGTGTGCCATAGATCCCTTTGGCAGCTTGTGAAAGCCTTCCCAGAATCATGTTGTTGTTTTTAAAATTTTGCTATGGGACATGTGTGCTTGTCAGACACAGAAAGAGAGAAAGCACATGCTGGGGATACTGCCATGCTATTATCTTTTCTCCATTCTCCTTTTGGGACCCTCGGCACACAGGCATGTGGCGTGTGCGTGCGCGCACACACACACACAAACACACATACACACACACACACACACACACTACCTGGCACGTTTCTTAAGCCTCAGTCTTGAACTGAGCAGCTGGATATGTGGAATCTACCCACCTTCACCACCACGCCACCAGCTGGCACAGAATAATGTTTCTAATACATAAAATTTACACAAGATTACAAAAGGAACCATTTGTCTTATAAACATATCAAGATGCTTAAAAAAAAAACCCTCAAAATTATGTAATAATAAATGTGCTATTAAATAACAAGGCCTAGAAGCAGGTTTAATTATGACACTTTTGAAGTAATTATGAGTACAAATGATATGTTAAGATATTTACAATAACTAATGAAATATAAAATGAAATCTCATTTATATTGGGTACCAAGTCTTAGGTGTTGTTATGCTTGTTATGCTTGCTATGCTGCTGTGGTTTGTTGCTTATGTTTTATAATTGAAGGAAAAGGGACCAGCAGATGCCAGCAGATTGCTAGACTCCGACATAGTTGACCGTGGTTCGAGTCCTGGACCTGGTGGCTTTAAAACTCTTGCTGGGCACGTGTATGTGCATGCCCAAAATTCCAAGAGGAGAATGGAGGAAAAAAGATTGAGTTGTGGCTATCCCCTTGGGGGGTGATTTCTTACTTTTTGTCTCTCTGGCAAGTGCACATACCCTATTGCAAAAAATCTCTGAAATGTATAATTGAAGGAAAAGATGAATATAGAAATATAACTTTTTTTTTTTCATCAAATGTATGAACCTCTTGAAATTTTACGCTCACCCCAGGTAATATTAGTAACATTTTAATCTGGAGGATTAGGACTGAAGTCCTACAATTGGGACCAGCAGTTAGCGTAATGGCTATGTTGCTATACTCCTATGTAGTTGACTGCGGTTCAAGTCCTGGACCTAGTGGCCCAAGATCCCAAGAGGAGAATGTAGGAGAAGGGATTGTGGCTGGCCATCCCCCCTGGGGGGATGATTTCTCACTTTCTGTCTGTCTCTCTCTCTCTCTCCATCTTTCTGGCGAGTGCACACGCCCTATAGCAAAAACGTCTCCAAAGGAAAAAAAAAAAGTCCTATAATTAATACTTTTAAGTAGTATATCAAATGCTATAGAAAATTAACTATAAATAATTTGTGTTTGTTCCATTGAGAAAACATAGAAATAATTGAGACCTTGAACCCAGAGTCTTATCGTAAAGAAAAAAATTTTTAAATAATTATTTATTTAATTTTACTTACTATTATTATTTTTTAATTTGCTGTAGGAGACTTGTGCTCACCAGAGAGAGAGAAAGAGAGAGGAGAAAGTGAGAAAGCAAGCTGCCAGATCCTGGACTTAAACCACAGTCAGCCATTTGAGAGTTTAGTGCCTTAACCACCACGCCACCTGTTGGCTCCACAATAAAGAAATCTTTAAACATCTGTTTAATGCAGTGTTTCTAAAATTTACCAAGCTTAGAAATCTTTTTTTTTTCTCTTGTAGTTTGCCATAAGATGCATAAGCCTGCCAGAGAGAGAGGGAAAGTGAGAAGTCATCTCTCAGGGGAGATGGCTATCCTGCAGTTCCTTCTCTCCCATTCTCCTGACATTTTGTGTACACATGCACATGTGTCAGTGTGTTTTTTAACCCTCCAAGCCCAGGACTTGACCCATGCTGTTGGCCATGTGGGGTCCAGTTGCCTTAACCACCATGTCACTGACTGGCCCCATAGAAATCTTTTTGAAAATATGTTCTTAGGAGCACACTTTGAGAGACTGCTTTAGAGAGAGGGTGTGGCGATAGCTGCCGTTTTCGACTATGGGTTACCTCTTGGCGCCAGTTAGGGGTGGAGTCTCAGACACAACAGATCATTGCCTTTGTCTGGTGGTCCTACACTAAAGATATTGCTTACCATTAACATGCAGTATTTTTTGATTGGGGGTTCCTAAACAGTTTGCCATCTCCTGGAACAAGAGCGACAACAGCACAACCAGTTAAAACATACATGGCAGAAGGCCAATGACCAGTTTCTGGAATCTCAGCGTTTGCTTATGAGAGACATGCAGCGAATGGAGATTGTGCTCACTTCAGAACAGCTCCGACAGGTTGAAGAACTGAAGAAGAAAGATCAGGTGAATGGCAGTTTCATAGGACTTGTTTGCTTTTGTTGATAGTATGCACCTCTGCTGCCGCACACACAGGCGATTGTATTACTTTATGTGTCAGAGATGGATTGATTTTGGCTGAAACAATGTGACACGTGCCACTTTAAAGACTGGCTCAAGTTCTGGACAGTCGAAGCATTTTGATTTTTTTCTAAAACAAATAAATTTCTTATCAATGGCAACTTAATGGTGCTTATAGCATTTTTAGCACATGCAGTAGATTCCATCCATTTCTTACAGTATTATTTTTCTTTCTTTCCCTTCTTTTTTTTTTTTGAGAGGTTTTTGCCTTAGGGCATGTGTGCTCACCAGAGAGAGAGAGAGAGAGAGAGAGAGAGAGAGAGAAAGGCAGAGACAGTGAATGGGAAAGTGAGAAGCCTCCTCCAGGGGAAATGACCATGCCACATTCCCTTCTCCATTCTCCTCCTGGGTTCTTGGGCATGCACACACATGCACCTGGAGTGAGTTTCAAGCCACCGGCACAGGACTTGAACCGCTGTCAGCCATGTGGAAGTCCAGCACCATAACTGCTACTCTATCTGCTGGTCCCTCTTTTTTTCTTAATTGCCAGAGAGTATATACTCTAGCTAGAAGAGACAAGGAGGGGGACAAAGCACCCCTAATAGCACATGCCCACACCATAATCTCTTCTCCATTTTCTTATTCTGTCAGAATTTTGGTCATGTGCACATAAATGTGTGTGTATGAGCACATGTGTATCCCCGCTCCCCAGCATGGTTTTCAGGCTGCAGGGGCTGAGACTCAAACCATGGTCAGCCATGTGGGATCCAGCTTTCTTAATCATTTGGCTATGGCCCTCCTATACTCTTCTGAGTTGTCCTCCATGCAAGTTTATATATCGAATGTGGTCAGTTTTCTCTAATGTCCTGGATGTTCATTTTAAAAATACATTAAACAATGGGCCAGCCAGTGGCGTGTTAGTTAAGGTGGCTGGATCCCACCTGGCCGACTGCATGGTTCAAGTCCTAGACCCAGTGGTTTAAAAAATACTCAGGTGTATGTACATACATGCCTAGACTCCTTAGAGGGGAAAGGAGGAGAAGGGATTGAAGTATGGCTATCCCCCCTGGGAGAGTGATTTCTCACCTTCTCTCTCTCATTTTCTTTCTCCAGCAGATATGTATGCCCTATAGCAAATTAAAAAAAAAAAATCAAAAACATTACACTAAACAAATAAAAAATGTAGTAACTATATTTGAAGTGTTTTATTCTTTATCTTTAGAAATGACCTTGGCTGGGGGTGGGGGGCTGATTTAAAAATTATTTTCTCCATAGACTGTAGTATGCAAGAGTGCCTATTTCTGAGAAAATGATACTGTGCAGTTTTCCTGGGCTCCTGAATTGTATGAATACAGGCAAAGTCCTTGGCGAGGTTGCTCTAAAAGCCTTGCTGGAAGATGACAACATGTGGATGGAGAAGCCGAGTGATGTGTAAAGGCAGGTGTTACAAGTGCTCTGTACTCAAAGTCTTGTTTTCTTCTTACCTTTTTCTTATTTTTTAGACAGAGTCTCACTGTGTCCCAGTCCTTCTGCCTCAGCCCTTTGAATAGTTTAACTACAGATGAATGCCACCATCCCTGGCTTTTAGGGTGGGCTGTGAATCGAAACCGGCCCCCGTGTGGCCTCAGTCTGCCAAGCTGTAGCATGCTACATGTGGTGACTGGGCCTATCTTAAAAAAAAAATTATTTAAATTATGTGACTAATACACAAATGTTTATGTTAAAACATTTTAATACAAAGTGAGATAAATATAAACAACTTAAAGTCTGCCTTGACCCATACCTCCCCTTCCCAGAAATAACCACGTTTATCAGTTTGGGAGGGAGTCTTTCGAACCTATTCTGTGTTTATCAGTGTATATTTAGGGTAGATTCCCTCCCCCCCATACCACTAGTATTATACTGTAAGTATTTATAACTTATTTTTTTGCAAGCATTATCTTGGATACATATCAGAATTCTGGCTCATTCTTATTAACTTGTACATGAGTTAATGGGCATACATAATTTAATTCTTCTGTAGTGGGCATCCATATGGTCTCCCTCCCACCACTTTTTTGTCATTTTCAGTAGTGTTGGAGTCAGTGCCCTTTACTGTGCTGTGAATGTGTGTATATATTTCCCTAAGACAGCCACATTGAAGTGCTCACTGCTGGGGCCAGCAGGTGGCATGGTGGTTAAGGCACCGGACTGTCACATGACTGACCACAGTTTGAGTCCCAGACCTGGCAGCTTGCAGATCACAACAGGCACTTCTACGAGTGTCCCAGGAAAAGAGAATGGAGGAGAAGGGATTGTGGTGGGGGAGTGATTTCTCACTTTTCTTCTCAGTGTCTCTGACTTTCTCTGGCGAGCATATGCGTCTATGGCAAATAACCTTAGAAAACAGGCACTCACTCCTTTCCTAGATATTTTAAGAAGTATTTCAGACTGTCTTATGTGACTCAGGTTGAATTTTATTTTTTAGAAGTTGTCTTTTTTTAATTTATTTTTCGTCCTTGAATTCTGACTCATTCATCTTGTGTGTAGACATAGTCGATGTAAGGATTTGGATACTCAGTACAGATCTTATGCCTCCCTGCTGCCCATTAAGGTAGTTTAAACTTTGGGGGAGGGTGAAAGTAGGGGAATCAAGGAGAAAAATAGAGAAGGAAGACATTTAAGGGACACAAAAATGGAAGATTGTCTGTTGATGATAACATGTATGATAATATCTTTGGACTGGTATGCAATATATTCATGCTGGGGAAATTCATTTTGCAAGCTGTGGTGATATACAGTGATTGAATATATAAAATAAATGAAGAAAAAAGATAGTCTAAACTTTATTGACATGGTCATTTAAGGTCTTAATTAGCATTTATTGAACTTTTTTCTGTGTGCTAACATTGTGGTAAGACTTTATAAAACTTTATCTCAAGTAGTTCTCAAAAAAACCCCCAAGTCTGTATGAGATAGGGACTACACCCTGTTATGTTATAGTTTAGGGAAGATAGAGAGGCTGTAGAAATCGGAGGTTTGAGCCAGTCTCTGCTTCCAGAGTCTGAACACTTAACCACCTCCTTATCACCTCTCCATGACCTTCACCTCTCATGTGCCTGTCCTGTTTTCAGTCACATCAGATTACTCACTGTTCGGGACTGGCAGGTGGCGTGGTGGTTAAAGGTGCTAGACTCCCATATGGCCAACTGCGGTTCAAGTCCTGGACCTGGTGGCTTACTTTCTCACATTTTCTCTCTTTCTCTCATACTGTCCCTCTCTGATCGAATTAAAATAAATAAAGTTAAGTAAAATAATTCCTTAAAATAAAGATTACTAACTGTTCAATTTCCTGTTCCCTGAGGGGCCTTGGTTTGAGATCCAAAGTCGTCGTACCCCTTGCATGTTAGGAGGGCTGCTCTTGGTTTGCGTTGATTCCCAGTCATAGTGATTTGTGTGTGACCTGTACTGAGTACAGGCCCCAGGTCAAAATTAGAAGAGTACCTTTTGTGAATAACCTGCAGCCCTAGATTTATGAGAAATCTGAAGGGGACTTCAAACATTTTGTGGAAAAAATGGAATTAAAATACAGATTTATTTTGCTGCAGAGATTTTGAAATCCATGCATAGTTTTTAAATAATAAGCATTTTCTATGAACTCTTCAAAGATTCCACGTATCTAGGACTACTGGCTGTCCTCTAAACAGAGTGTTGCCTGATTTCTTTGAGTTCATTTATATTCTTGTGCCACCAAGAAATGGGAATGCTCATAGGGTATTCTCATAATTGTTCAATCACACAAATATCATAGGTTACAACCAGATAGCATGCCATGTTCAAGAAAATTTTATTCACTTCTGTGTAAAAAGAAAGAATAATGGCGGTATTGGGTAGTCTGAAAAGTCATGATAATTTTTTGCATAGAAAAACATGGAAAAATACATTATGACTTTTCCATTAACTTAATATATTTGATGAAATACCCCAAGGGGCAGTGGGGAAGAAAAGCTCAACATCACTTCATGTGGAAAATTTGGGGACTCATCCATGAGTATCATTTGGGAACAGTTTTCCCCTTGATGGTCTACGTGATTTTTATCCTGTGGGAGTTAAAAATCCTGGTGGTTAAGGCAATGTTAGTAATGTTAAGGCACTCTGACTGACGACTGTGCTACTTCTTAGAAGTTGTACTGATGCCTGTGGATATGATCTCTTGTTTGTTTTTTGCTTTTTTTAAATGTTTGTTTATTCTGTTAGGCAGCCAGACAGATAAGCATCCCCAACAGGTTTGGCATGATGCATTCTACCCCCAGCCTTGGCCAGCCAGGATTTGAGCACACACATAAGCCTGGTGTGTTTGAGATTTGAGTACACCTGGGACTTTCCCATTGCAGGTTCAGCATCACAGAGCATGGTGTCACTGCTGCACCACTCGGCCAACCCAGTTGGGGCTTTTTAATAATGTTGTCTTTAAACAATTGCTCTGTTGTACGTGTTTCTGAACTCTGAGTAGGGGAAAAAGGAACTTCCCCAGACTAAAATTTTCAATGAAAGCAGTTAAATAAAATAAGTTGTTTTTTTTTTTTTTTTTTAAATGACCTTACATTCCCTAACAGGCCTACTTGCCCATGCCTCTGTCCTTTGTAGGTGCTTCCTTTCTCCCTGAAACCCTTGCCTCTCTTCTCTCACACAACTGGCAAACTCAACCTACGTACCTTTCAAGATCTCTTTTGACCCCTGTTGCTGGCTCCCTCAGATGAAGTCAGCCCTTGTTTCTCTCCTCCTGTAGAACCTTGTAAATACTGGTATTATAATTGTCTTTCTCTCCTCTCTGGGCTTTTTTGGGGAGCATCAAATGTATCTTATTCATCTTTGTTGAATGAATTATTATATCAATTTTAACCATTATTTTGTATTTCATATGAATTTGTACATTTTTATTTGTTTATAAACTAGAGAGCCCTTGTGTTCACCAGAAGGAGAGAGAGAGAGGAGAGAAAAGCACTCTCCAGTAGGTATGGTCATGTTGCCATCCCTCTCCTCCATTTCTCCATCCCATCAGGATTTTGGGAATGCTTCCATCATGTACTTTTTCAAGTCTCCGGTTCTGGGACTTGAACTGCATAGTCATGTGGGATCTGGCTTCCTTAACCACTTGGCCATGGGGTTGACCTGAATTTGTATATTTTAAAATGGATGCACAGTGTTATAATAACCTTTTCCTATAATAATCAGAAGGAAATGATCTATGTAAATATTCCTTTCTTGGCTTATTTGAAATTGAGAAGTGGTTTGCTTCCTTTTGTTTTGGCTCTTATGTAATATATTTTTTGTAAAACTTAACTTTTTTTTTAAGAATTATTTTTTACTTAACTTTATTTATTTATTTTAATTTGACCAGAGAGAGAGAGAGAGAGATAGCAAGACACCAGGTCTAGGACTTGAACCATGGTTGGTCATGTGGGAGTCCAGCATCCTTAACCAGCATGCCACCTGCCAGCCCCCAATTTTTTCTTTTTTTAAATGTCACATTTTAGCTTTTTTTAAAAAAAATATTTTATTGAACTTTCTTTATTTTTATTTATTTTAATTTGACCAGAGAGGGACAGAGAAAGAGAGAGAGAGAGAAAGAGGTGAGCAAACAAGCCGCCAGGTCCAGGACTCAAACCACGGTCAGCCATGTAGGAGTCTAGTGCCCTTAACCACTACACCACCTGCTGGTCCCAGATTTTAGTTATTTTTAAAGTTTATTTTATTCATGTGAGAGAGTATGTACATGTGTGTGTAAGAAGGGAGAGACACCCTGACAGGGTCTCATTATACCACAGTCTCTTTTCACTAGTCCTGCAGCTCCTCAGGCCCTTAGGTGCACAAGTACCTGCCATGTTTTCAGTCTTGGGACCTGTACATGCAATCTGCCCCACGTGGCTTTCAGCACTGCTGTTCAGTAAGCTAACTTTCTTTATTTTTGTATTTATTTTAATTTGACCAGCGAGAGACAGAGAGAGAGAGACAGAGAGAAAGTGAGAAAGCAAGCTGATAGGTCCAGGACTCAAACGCGGTGGGCCATGTGGAAGTCCAGCGCTCTTGACCGCCACGCCACCTGGTGGCCCCGGCCCTGATTTTTTTTATACAGGTATCTTTTCGCTTCCTCTTCTTTGTAAAAATAACTACTTAATTTAATTTAATTTATTTATATTTTAATTTGACCAGAGAGGGACAGAGAGTGAGAGGAGGGAGAGACAAAGTGAGAAAGCAATCTGCTAAGTCTGGGACTTGAACTGCAGTTGGTCATGTGGGAGACTAGCGCCTTTTAACCACCATGCCACCTGCCAGCCCCAGATACAAGGTTTCTTATTCTGTGTTTATAGTATTAAGATGTTTTGTCATGACCTATTGATATGATTACACAACAAATAAACCTTAAGTGTCCAGTTTTCTCTTATCATAAAGCTCTGTTCTTTTTTATTTGAGTACTAAAGAACTATGACTCATTATGTCCAGATTGCCTGGATAATATGTATGGTTTTTCTTTTTTTCTTATTTTTAGGAGGATGATGAACAACAAAGACTTAATAAAAGAAAAGATCACAAAAAAACAGATCCTGAGGAAGAAGTAAAAATACCAGTAGTGTGTGCTTTTACTCAAGAAGAATCTTCAGCCCAGTTATCAAATGAAGAGGTATAGTGAATCTGTAATTAAAATAATTTTATATATAGTGTCACTTTTTGTGTGTGTGTGTTGTAAGCCAGAGCGTGTGTGCCCTTGACAGGGAAAGATAGGGAAGGAGCACTTCCCATGGAGAATGGTTGCACCACAATCTCTTCTCCTTCATTTCTCCCTCCTTCATGGATTTTGGGCATGAATGTACCTGCACCTAGCACATTTTTTAAGCCACTGGGTCTGGGACTTGAACTGCATGGTCAGCCACATGGGATCCAGCTCCCTTAACTACGAGGACAGGCCCCAGTGTTACCATTTTTATCTTACTTATACATCAGTCAGTTATATTGTTCATATGGGAAATGCATAGCTATAAGCTGAAAAGTAGATAAAATGACAGTATTTATTAGGTCATTGGGAAAGTCGTGACAGTTTTCTACGTAAAAATGTGTCATGACTTTCCCGATAACCTAATCGTTTGTTTTTTTTTTTTTAAAGAGAGATTTTGCTATAGGGTGCATGCACTTGCTAGAGACAGAAAGTGAGAAATCACACCCTCCCCTCAGGGAGTATGGCCAAGCCATAATCCCTTTTCCTCCATTCTCCTCTCAGGATTTTGGGCACATACGCATGTACACATACCCCGTGTGAATTTTAAGCTGCTGGGTCTGGAACTCGAACTGCGGTCAACTACATGGGAGTCTAGCGACATAACCATTACACCATCTTCTTGTCCCAGTTTCACTTGTTTTTACAGCATTATGGGTGGCGTTTTTGGAAACATGTTGTGATTTCTCATTTGGTGCCTGAAATAATCAGGTTTTATGTTTTTAATAGTTCTAGAATGTAATATGTTAAAAGAAAATTTTAATGTCTACAAAAATACTTTTTGATGTGAAAAATAGATGTTGCTAATAATTTTACTTTTTTTTTTTTTGGAGAGGTTTTTGCTATAGGACACATGTGCTTGTCAGAAAGATGGAGAGAAACAGTGAGACAGAAAGCAAGAAATCACCCCTCAGGGGGATGGCCACACCGCAGTCCCTTCTCCTCCATTCTCCTCTAGGGATCTTGGGCACATGCACACACACACACACACACACACACACACACACGCCCGGTGTGAGTTTAAGCCGCCAGGTCTGGGACTCGAACCATGGTCGACTACCTGGGAGTGCAGCGACATAGCCATTATGCCAACTGCTGGTCCCAAACCTTTTTTTTCTTTAATACAAGGATGATCTAAAGTGTTGAGACACTTTAATTCCCTATAGCATTTAGGTGAGTATTAACAAGTATTAGGTTTAAGCCCTGGGAACAGTAAGGTTTGACAGACTACAGTAAGGCAGGGTAGAACATGTCAGGTATTGGGAATGGGCAGAGAGATTCCTGGAGACAGAAAGTGTAAGGTGGTTCTACTCTCACCTGCAGTTTGGCAAGGGCCTTCTCATTGGGTTTCCTGTCCCACTCCATTGTATACCCACAGCAGTGCTGTCACACTCATTTCCTTAAGTGCAGGTGGAGTCAAGACACTCCCCTACTCAAAAGCCACCACTGAAATGTATACATGTTGGAATATTAACTTTGCAAGCTAAATAATGTGATTGAATATATAAAAAACCTAGAAATAAAGAAAAAAAAAGCCACCACTGACTCTAACTACATAATTTAGTACAAATTCCTAGATGGTCTCTTGACCCTTCGCAATATAGTTTGGTCATCATTGCCTTGTGACCCACTCTTTACCTAGTTTGTTGGTTCCTTTGTCCGGAACGCTGACCTCCCTCTGCCTTTCTGAGTATTGAAATTTTTCTACTCCTCCTTCAAAGTTCATGCTACTATCTCATCTTCAGTGAAGGAAGTGGTTCTCTTAATTGCCTTTGGGATACAAACTAAGGACCCTTGCTGGGCATACATTGGCCTTCAGAGTCAAATGGCCAGTTAGTTACACCCATGTCTCTTCATTTCACTGCAGCTGTGATTGCTGTACTTACAGTTGTTGCTTATGTGCTCTGTTTACACCGTCCCTGCCCCTGCATTCAGAATTTCTTTCTCACTTTCCCACCCTCAACTCTTTTCTTAGCAAGGAGAATGGGTTTCAGTTGGCTAAGAGTCTTTTTTTTTTTTCTCTTTCAGAGGTATCATGTTTTTGTTAATTTTGGAGATTTACTCTGAGCCACTATAATCTACTTATTGGCTTATATTTTCATGTTTATGGTTTGTTTGACATTTAAAAAGCTTTTTAAAAAATCTTAGCAGATGCTGGGAACCAGCAGTTAGTGTAATGGCTATGTCGCTGGACTCCCATGTAGTCGACCGCGGTTCGCGTCCCGGACCCGGTGGCTTAAAACTCACGCCGGGCGCGTGTGCGTGCGTGCCCAAGATCCCGAGAGGAGAATGGAGGAGAAGGGATTGCGGCGTGACCATCCCCCCGGGGGGTGATTTCTCGCTTTCTGTCTCTAATGTCTCTGTCTGTCTGTCTGGCGAGCGCACGCGCCCTATAGTGAAAATCTCTCTCAAAAAAAAAAAAAATCTTAGCAGATGCTGAAAAATAAGATGTGGTTGTTTTGTACATTCTTTGTTTTGAAACATACACTGAGGACTGTTTGACCTAATTCTGCCATGCATTTTTTAAAAATTGTTATTCTTTCTGGAGAATGTCTCAATTATGGGGTACAGCCAAGTATAACATGGTTTTTGCATCATGCAGTCTTCTATCCAGGAATGTTTGAAAAGCAGGAAAATAGGAAATGGAAATTTGTTGTAATTTACAGTGAAGTAATTGTCTTTTTCTTTTTTCTTTTTTTTTTTTTCTTCAGATTTTCACCATAGAGCGCACGTGTTTGCCAGAGACGGAGAAAGACAGAGAGGGAAAGTGAGAAATAACCCCTCAGGGGGATGGCTAGGCTGCAGTCCCTTCTCCTCCTGGGATTTCGGGCATGCACATACATACAATCAGTGTGATTTTCTAGCTGCCAGATTCAGGCCTCAGAACACAGTTGGCCATGTGGGAGTCCAGCTCCTTAACCACTTATGTGACATGTGTGTTCCAATTATATTATTTTTTGATTCTGTCTTAATTTATTGTATGGCATATTGTACATAATGCTATTTCCTGACATTTGAAATACCTTTAGACTTTCACAGCTATTATTTTTGCAGTTTGAATGTTGAGCATAACCATTTTATGTTGAAAATCATGACAATTTATTTTAGCTGTTGGTTTAAAGTTAATATGGAATGATTTGAGTACTTATATTTATTGCTGAAGATACTTAAAATTTGTAGGCCCTTGTGTCTTTTTTTAAGGGGAGGAGAGGTTTTTGCTATAGGGCATGTGTGCTCATCAGAGAGACAGAGAGAGACAGAGATACAGAAAGCGAGAACTCATCCCCCCAGGAAAGATGGTCATGCCATGATCCTTTCTCCTCCATTCTCATCTCAGGATCTTGGGCACGCATGCACACGCGCCCGGCATAAGTTTAAGCTACCAGTTCCAGGACTTGAACCATGGTCGACTACATGGGAGTCCAGCAACATAGCCATTATGCCAACTGCTGGTCCTAGAACCTCGTATCTTTTATTTTATTTTTTTTAATTTAAAAATTTTTTTTTCTTTTTTTTTTTTGCTATAGGGCGCGTGCGCTCGCCAGATAGAGAGAGACATAGAGACAGAAAGCGAGAAATCACCCCCCAGGGGGGATGGTCACGCCGCAGTCCCTTCTCCTCCATTCTCCTCTCGGGATCTTGGGCATGCACGCACACGCGCCCGGCGTGAGTTCTAAGCCGCCGGGTCCCGGACGTGAACCGCGGTCGTCTACGTGGGAATCCAGCGATATAGCCATTACGCTAACTGCTGGTTCCCAGGACCTCGTATCTTTAACCTGATGCATAGAATACACTTTTTTCACTACAAGAGTAATATGTATTTATTATGGAAAACTTGAGAAGTATAGAAAAGATTGTACAAAATAAAAATAGCTAGTAAATAGTCCTACCACCAGAGATAACCACTACTCACTACTAACGCTTTAGAGTATATATTTCTTCTCTCTCCCCTTTTTCTGTTTTTCCCCCCCAAAGATAATATATTTGTGTTTCTATTTGTACTTTTTACACATAATCCAGACTGCAACTTTATAATATTTTATTTACAGTGTTTTTCCCCCACTAACAGTACTTTAAAGTTGGGTACATATTAAGTGTTTTCCTTCTAATGATAAAGACTAGCAGAATTTTAGCATGAAAATGTACTATAATTGTTTTAGCTAATTCTCTGCTAATTGTTTTGTGCCCAGGTCTTAATTTATAAAGGTGACTGAGTGACAGCATGGAGAGGCCCATGCCATTGGAAAAAGTTTACTGTTCTAGTTTCTCTGAAAATGAGAGGCACAGCACACCACGCAGGGCTACCTGGGAAGGCCCCAGAGCTGGTCAGGAGGCAGCAGCAGGAGTTGGGAAGAGCCTGAGCCACCGCTGTTGGTGGAGTTTCCGTGGGAAAGACAGACAAGGGCAGGGGAAACAGTTTAGGATGCTAGTTGGCATAATTCCAGCAAGCTTTGGGGTATAGGGCTGCCTTTAGTTGTCTGGTACCTGCCTCTGGATTGATTTGGAGTAGAGGCAATATTTGTTTGGAGTGTGAGTGTTAGATCAAGGAAGTGGTTGGGGATATAGACTTGGGATTGGTTTGTTTGCATAGGAAAGGCATGTTTATGGGCAGGTGAGTTGTTTCTCAGTTTTAGGAATTTAGCCCTAGCAGGCACAGCCTCTCTCCAGCTAGCAGGACGCCCAAAATGTCCAAACATCGTGGAATACAGGGGGAAAAAAGACTAACATACTCATCATTAAGTTGGTTTCATTTTTGTATTACTATAAAAATATTAATTAAAAGTAATGCCATAATGCTGTTGCATATCATTTTCCTTTGAAGTTCATTTATTTTAATTTTAATTTGCTATAGAGTGGATGTACTCATGAGAGAGACAGAGAAAGAGGGAAAGGGGAAAAGCCCCCTTTCTCCCCAGGTTGGGAAAGGCCACTCCATAACCCTTTCTTTTTTTAGGGTTTTGGACGTGCATGCACGTATTCCCAATGTGTTTTTTGAGTTACCTGCTTTGGGACTTGAATCATGCAGTCATGTGGGATCCAGTTGCTTTAATTACTATACCACTGACCATCCCCTGAAGTTTATTTATCTCTTCCATGAGAGAGAGAGAGAGACATAGAGACATAGACAAGCACCCTCGACAGAGTCTTCAGACTGTGTTCGAGTATGGGTCAACGTCACAAGTATGTGCCTGATGCACTCGGGAGGTCCAAGAATGCAAATCCAGGACCTTTCTCACATGGATCCAATTGGGTTGCCACTGTACTACCACCTGGCCTCATAATTTTATTTTTAAAAATTAAAAATATATATTATTATTAGCCTCGCCTCAGTTGCCCATACTGGTAAATGCTGCTCCTTGATGGACTGAGGTCACATTGGAGGTTTGTTCAATTCCCTGCCCACTGTAAAAGCCAGGTATGCCCTGATAGTCCCAGCAATTGAGGCAGGAGGATCATTAAGTTCCAGGCCAGCTTGGGCTCCATAGTAAAACCCTGTCTCTAAAAAGTATAACTCAATAAAAAAGAAAGAGGGCCAGCCAGTAGCATGGTGGTTAAGGCAGCTGGATCCAACACAGCTGACTGCATGGTTTAAATACCAGACGAGTGCTGTGTATATGTTTGCTTAAAATCCTGAGAGGAGAGTAGAGGAGAAGAGATTGTCACTTGGCCATCCCCACAGTGGATGCTTTCTCACTTTCTGTGAGCACACTAAAATTTTTAAAAGTTTAGTTTTCAGTAAAAGTAAAAAAAAAAAAAAAAAAAAAAGGATATTCATCCTCCTCACTCCCTACCCTCTGGCAACTACTAATCTGTTTTGTGTCTGTAAATTTACCTGCTCTGGACATTTTGTATAGGTGGAATCATACATTGTGTGAATTTTTGCATTTGATTTCTTTCACTTAGTATATTATGTTTAAATGTTGATTATACCTTGCTTGGAATTTGCTTTCTAGAATACTACATTCTTTTCCTTTCTGCCGCTCTGGTTTACCTTCTGCCCATTCCCTAACGTTAGTATTTCTCAGGGTTCTGTACTTGATCCTCATATCCTACACACTTCTCCTAGGTGTTTTGAATTGCTGCTGTGACCTTAATGATCATTGTACTATGGTGACTCCCAAGTCTCTGTCTAAAGCCTTCTGCTTCCCTATATTATGTGGATGTCTCCAACTGGATATACAACAGGCACCTCACATGAACTTGACATCCACTGAATGACAGGTGGCCTTCCCTAGTTCCTCATGTCTGGGCTAGACATGTTTCAGTTGTATTCAGTTTCACAGTTGTATTCTGAGTGCCTGGTTTAATGTCCCGCATATAAAAGACCCTCAGTGTAATGTTTATTCCACGATTATATGAATCAATAATGATCATGTGTAGCCCGTGACAAAAATAATTAATCTATGGGAGTTTTTGTCTTTGGGGGTGCAGAGGATTGACTAACGTGGCAATATATTTTCACATTTTAGGAGCATTTAGACAGCACCCATGGATCAGTCCATTCCTTAGATGCAGACTTGTTGTTACCTTCTGGAGATCCATTCAGTAAATCGGACAATGACATGTTTAAAGATGGACTCAGGCGAGCACAGTCCACAGACAGCTTGGGAACCTCTGGCTCATTGCAATCCAAAGCTTTAGGGTATAATTACAAAGCAAAATCTGCTGGAAACCTGGACGAGTCGGATTTTGGACCACTGGTGGGAGCAGATTCAGTGTCTGAGAACTTTGATACTGCATCCCTTGGGTCACTGCAGATGCCAAGTGGGTTTATGTTAACCAAAGATCAGGAAAGAGCAATCAAAGCAATGACGCCAGAACAAGAAGAGACAGCATCCCTCCTCTCCAGCGTTACCCAGGGCATGGAGAGTGCTTATGTGTCCCCCAGTGGTTACCGCTTAGTCAGTGAGACGGAATGGAATCTTCTGCAGAAAGAGGTGAGTTATCTTTACAACGTTTTTTTCTTCTGCTCACTCTGAGGCATACTGGGTAAGCTTTGGGATTTTTGGTTCATTCAGCAGATAGTTCCTAGAGCCAGTGCAGACACAGATTGCAGTAAGTGGGTGTTACACCCATTATCATAGCCTGCATAGGCTATGCCGTGTGACTGTACAGGAAAGGGCACTAACTAGCTAATCTTGTTGAAAGTGAACTTCTTCACCTGAAGTCACATCTCTTCAGGTCAGAGTGACCTGACTGACTGGCATCGCTGAGTGTAAGCTACAGTACCCTGCATTTGGTTGCTTTGCAGTTTTCTATAATCTTAATGCATTCCAGAATTCATATCCTTTCCTCTTCCCTTAGATCTGAAGCGCAAGTGCTTGTCAGGTGTTAATGCTAAGAGTGAATTTAAGGAGGGTAGAAAATATAGAAGAGAGAAGAAGGCAGTCTTTAATGAAGTTAATGATCTTCTTTATGGTATTTGCAAAATCAGAAGTAAGACTATGAGATTAAAAACTTAAATACATATTTGCACAATGCTTTACAGATTACAAAGCCCTTTCACATACCTCATCTCTTGGAGCTTCATGATCACAATGAGGCAATCAGGGCATGATTGTCCCTAGTTTGTATGAGGAAACTCCCTCAGAGACATTGAGTATTCCCTGTTGGTAGCAAAACCTGGGTTAGGTGCCAGGCTTTCTGACTTCCAGTATGTTCCTTTACTCAGGGCTACTTGTCTTTGAAGAAGCTATTGATCGGTAAGCAAACGAGTTTCTTAGCCTGAAAGAAACTTGGCCTTATGCAAAACATATGAGAAGGTGCTGCTAAATACTTTAATACCTGTTTTGTAATTAGCGCTGGTCAGATGGAGAATTGGCACTGTTTTTGTTGGATAATATTGATTTAAATTGTGAGCATCATGGTGTAGTGTCTTTTACTTGCTTTGGTTTTCCTCAAGTGTGGTGTTTTGTGGACCTTAGCCTCTCTGTGATAAGGTGTCTCCCTTCTTTTCCTGCATACTCATACTGGAGGTTATGACTTTAGAATCTGACCCTTTGTTGTGACTTATTCCTGTGAATCCCAAAAGAAATATTTTACTCCATCTTCTACTTTGAGTAACGTTGGTAAGACTGCATGTATTCCTCAAGTATCTGATATGGAATTATTTTGTCCTGCCTGATAAGAGGTAATTTTGGTGCCCTTCAGGTACATAATGCTGGAAATAAACTTGGTAGACGTTGTGATATGTGTTCCAATTATGAAAAACAGTTACAAGGAATTCAGATTCAGGAGGCTGAAACGAGAGACCAGGTGAGTTTCTTTTGGATATGCCAAACTTGTGAGCTGTTGTAGTATTCATTGGAGATGAGAATGAATTGCCTTTCCCACCATTTGGTTTGTGGAACATATTTATCTTGTTAAATTATGGACTAATGTGGTACCTGCAGTGGCAGTTCCATTTCTAGTGGGAACTTACTAGACTTAGTTTCTTTGTGTTTGTGCTTCATTAACTTGCCAGCACCACGCAGGTCAGCTTAGTTCTGGCAGGAGCTCTGCCTCATTCCCCCACTTCTTGCCCAAGGCCTAAAAGTCATGTCATGATTTTATACACATGGAAACTACTTTATGATATGGAGATTTTAGGGACTTAGAGGTTGACTATTACCTCTAGTAGAATAAAAGCTTTACTGAATAACATATTAATCAGTATGTAGACTTTTCATTGTTTATTGCCTACTTCTTGTTATAAATTTGTTGAATTGATTAAGGTTAGTTTACGAGGTCACAGAAATTCAGCGTTGGTAGATTTGCTATGCTGAGATTGGCAAATCCTTTTTTTTTTTCTGAGAGAGATTTTTGCTATAGGAAGCATGTGCTCACTGGAAAGACAGAGAGATAGAAAGTGAGAGATCACTCCCCAGCGGGGTGACCACACCACAATCCCTTCTCCTCCATTTTCCTCTTAGGATTTTGAGTATGCATGCACACTTGCCCAGTGTGAGTTGTAAGCCACTGTGTCCGGGACTCGAACTAGAGTTGACTATGTGGGAATCCAGCTACGTAACCATTACACCATCTGCTGGTCCTGAGATTGGCCAATCTTAAGTACCTTTTCAAATACAGCATTTAATAATGGATACCTTGGTAATATTTAGGAAATAACGCAGAATCTCAGGAGAGTAAACTTGTGAAAGTTTATGTAAGGAAAAGATATTTTTTCTTAAAATATTCGATTGTTCTTTAGTTATTACAAAGATTGTTCCCTTAGTCTTCAAAAGAACTTTAAGCAGATTAGAATGATGGCTAAATATTTTCAAATGTCATTGGCATTGAGTTTCTCTATATATGCATTATTTATAGACAGTTCAAAGATAAATTTCAAAAGCTATTTGCAAAGCTGATACAATTGGCCTCTGATAGTGTGGTGTGGTAATGGGCTATTTTGGAGTCCATGGTCATTCAGTTGATGTTCACTGATGTTTCATCTGTGGCATTTGCTGGGTCCCCGGGATTCAAAATCAGCTAGAACACAGCTATGGCCTATGAGGAGCTTTCTGTGTTACCATCTAAGCTATCCCTTCAGTATTGTTTGTTACCATTAACGTACACACAGAACTAGACGAGGGGTAGGCAAAGTACCACTCTAAGTTTATTTTAGATACTGGTAAAAATTAGTTAGGAAAAGAAGTGAGGAAGGAGAAAGTGTTTAAGGAGATGAAAGATGTATAAAGGAATAGAGTTATGAAAGAAAATGTATTATGCAAAGTCTAAGTAGTTCATTGGCTCGTCATAGGGGATGTGTATATCACAGAATAATGGCAGAGGAAACTATAAAGGAAGACAATTGAGGGAGGAGTGATGATTGAATTGGTTTAAATTTTACCCCAAAGACTTTGGGGAGGAATTTCAGGCTTTTAAGTGGGGAAATTATATGATGTCACTTTTGCAAAATTTATATTGTTAGTGTGGGTTGTAGATTGGAGGCAGAGGATGGGCTAGAATTAGGGAGGCCAGTGTCATATTCTAGGGGACTCAGGAGCATTTCAAATGAGAAAATGTATGTGAAAAATGATTTGTTAACTGTAAAGCACAGTACAGTTGTCTTTTGAGGTCATTCATCTCATTTCTTAATTGATACATCTATATTTCTCAAGAAAAAGATTACAGCTCTAAAAATATTGCGGAGTTAGGGATTTAAAAAAATTACAACAGAATTCTGGTTCTTCTAATTGATTTTTGAAATTAATGTAGGTGAAAAAACTGCAGGTGATGTTAAGGCAAGCTAATGACCAATTAGAGAAGACAATGAAAGATAAACAGGAGCTGGAGGACTTCATAAAACAGAGCACTGAAGACTCAAGTCACCAGGTAAATGAGGGTGCTTAGAATGTGAGCTATGGGGAGTAACTGGGTGCTTTAAATAACAAATATTTGCAAAATGTAATCATGTTTCTTTTTCCCTGAAGAGTTGGTGGTTTTATTTTCTCTCAAAGGAAAAGATCTCTTACTAATCTTTCTGGGATGTCTGTTTTATAGATTTGGAAAAAAAAAACTTTTGAAATAATGAGTTGATGAATGTCAGAAGGTGCTGCTGCTGCTTTTATTCTTGTTAGGTTTTACTGCTATACAAGAATGTCCTGACAAGGAAGTTATTCATTCATTTCTTTTTACTTTTTGAAAGTATAGTATACATAGGAAAAAAAAAACCAAATATATACAGATGTACCAAACAGACCAGGACTAACATCTGTTTAACTGCTGTCGTGGAGAAGAAATAGATAGGACATTAGGCAGTAACCCCAGAAGCCCTGACTTTTTCCACTTACTACCTCCCTCCCAGGTGTAACCACTGTCCTAACTTTAACATCATTACATTTGTTAGTTTCATTTTTTTTTTTTTTAATTTGCTATAGGGCATGTACGTTGACCAGAGACAGACAGAGACAGAGACAGAGACAGAGAAGGGAAGTGAGGAAGTGGGGATGTCCATGCTACATCCCCTTCTCTTTCATTCTCCTCTCAGGATTTAGGGCCTGCATACACACATGCCCAGCACCTTTCTCCAGTGGCAGGTCCAGAAGGCGAACTATGCAGTTGACCATGTGGGATCCAGCTGTTTTAGCCACCATGCCACTGTATAGCCCAGTTTTATCTATTTTTAATTAGAAAAAACTAGTCTTATAATATATATCCTTTTGTGTCTTGTCTTCCTTTGATCAACAGTGTGAGACTCTTATTCGTGATGCATATAGTAGTTGTTTTCATCTTAGTAGTTGCATAGTCGTACCATTGTATGGACATACCATGATTTATACATCTTAATGTCGATGGATGTTTTTAGTTGTTTGTTTTGGGACATTATGAATAATGTTACTTTGAAGTTTCTGTATAGGGCTTGTTGGACACATTTCTGCTGGATATTTATCTTGGAGTGTAATGTCTGGATCAAAATATTCAAAATAGGTGTCCAACTTTAGTAAGTAATAATGCCAAAAAGTTTTCCAAAGTAGTTGTTGGCAGTTTATACTTCTATCACCAAAGTAGGAGAATTCCTGTGAGTGTAAGGCCTTAAAAAACTTCATTTTGGATATATATGATTCAATGTAATATAAAAAAAGATTATGATTAAAAAAAAAAAACCTTCACTTTGTTAGTTTTTTTCTTTTCTAAGGTTTTTGTTATAGGGCCCATGTGCTTGCTGGAGAGAGACAGTGAGAGGGAAGGTGAGAAATCACCCCTATTCTCCTCCTGGGATTTTGGGCATGCACATACATGCATCTGGTGTGATTTTCAGGCCACTGAGTCCAGGCCTCAAATTGCGGTCGATCATGTGGGAGTCAGCACCTTAACCACTACCCACCTGCTGGCCCCATTTTACTATTTTAATTATAGCCACTTTAATGGATATGTAATGGTATTTATTGTGACTTTGCTCTGATGGCCATTGAAATTGTTTAGCATTTCTTACATTTATTGGTCATTGGGATTGTGTGTGCATGTGTGATATTCCTGCTCAAGTCTTACACTCATTTTTCTATTATATTGCCTATTTTAACATACTTTTTTTTAAGGATTATTTAGTTTTTTATTTATTCATCCACATATTTTAATTTGACCAGAGAGAGACAGAGAGAGAGAGAGGGAGAGAGGGAAAGACAGAAAGTAAGCCACCAGGTCCAGGACTCAAACTGTGATCAGCCATGTGGGAGTGTCCAGCACCTTAACCACCACACAACCTGCTGGTCCCTTTAATGTACTTTTTTGGTTGTCTTATTGATTTTTTAAGTGTTCTTTTTATAATCTTGTTAGAGCTTTTTGATATGTGTTACAGATGTGTTCTACTCAATAGTCCGTTTTCATTAATGATGTATTTGGATAAGCAGAAGTTCTTAATCTTGATTTAGGTTAAATTTATTCATCTTTTTTTTTGTGGCCAGTGACTTTTGTCTTTTATTTTAAAAATATTTTTTTTGGGGGGACCAGCAGTTAGTGTAATGGCTATGTCGCTGGACTCCCATGTAGTCGACCGCAGTTCGCGTTCCGGACCCGGTGGCTTAAAACTCACGGCTGGGGGAACCAGCAGTTAGCGTAATGGCTATGTCGCTGGACTCCCACGTAGTCAACCGTGGTTCGTGTCCCGGACCCGGTGGCTTAAAAAACTCACACCAGGCGCATGTGCGTGTGTGCCCAAGATCCCGAGAGGAGAATGGAGGAGAAGGGATTGCGGCGTGACCATCCCCCCTGGGGGGTGATTTCTCGCTTTCTGTCTCTATGTCTCTCTCTGTCTGTCTGGCGAGCGCACGCGCCCTACAGTGAAAATCTCTCCAAAAAAAAAAAATCTATAGTATTTCCATATACAATCAACAAGCAGACAGAGACAGAACTGAAGAAAATAGGGAAGGGATGGCAGCGGGGCCATCCCCCCCCCCAGGGGGGGTGATTTCTCGTTTTCTGTCTCTATATCCTTCTCTGTCTGTCTGGCGAGCGCACGTGCCCTATAGCAAAAACCTATAGCAAAAACAGGACGCGCCCTATAGCAAAAACAGGACCAGCAGTTAGCATAATGGCTATGTTGTTGGACTCCCATGTAGTTGACTGGTTCGCATCCCGGACCCGGTGGCTTAAAACTCACTCCAGGCACGTGTGCGTGTGTGCCCAAGGTCCTGATAGGAGAATGGAGGAGAAGGATTGCGGCATCGCCATCCCCCCTGGGGGGTTGATTTCTCGCTTCCTGTCTCTCTGCCTGGCGAGCGCACGTGCCCTATAGTAAAAACCTCTCCAAAAAAAAAAAAAAATTTTTTTCTACTCTGGGCGTTTGAAGATAATTTCATACATCACCTCATAGAAGCTTCATTGTTCAGAGCTGCTCACATTTATACATAAAATCTATCCAGAACTGATTTACGCACACATGTATGTACATATATAGACACAGACACATCCATAATATAAGTAAGGCTAACATTTTGTATTTTTTCATTTGATAGCCAGTTTCTGTACCATGTAGCAAAAAGATCACCTTTTCCCCATTGCTTTATAAGGTCATCTTTGCCATCTATCAAGTGAGTATATGTGGGTTAATTTTAGGACTATCATATATTTTATTGGTCTGTCTCTCTTTGTGCCAAATTCTACACTGTGATTTATAATAAAATTTTCACTTAGGTTTTCTTTATGTTTTTATTGTTCCGCTGAGAGCTATTCTTTCATTTGTTTCAAAAGTGTTTATTTCATGGAACATCGCTATAATAGCTACTTTAAGATGTTCAGTAATTTTTTTTTTCATTTTATTTATTATAATAATATTGTTCATATTACATTGAATCACATATATCTTTACAGTGTATTACATTTTTTCAGAGGAAATACCATACATATCAGTCAAGACAAAGGCATTACTATCCACATCAGCAGCAACAAATAGCTGTTTTTTTCCAGATTATTCTCATTTTTTTCCCAATTTATTTATTTGCATTCATTCACTGTACATCATTACAGCATACAAAATGAGATTTTCCATCTAGAGTACACTGTATATTGTCTCAATCAAGCACATCAACAAATATGTTATTCTTAGCAAATGATCTCCCATTTCTTGTTTTCTGTATGTTTTGCTTTTTCCCCCCATCCTTGGTTCCCTATCTCTTACCCTCTGCCACCTCCTGTTCTCCTCCCACATTGTCTCTGTTATCTATATTTGCTTTCTATACCATTTTCCCCCCACATTTTATTGAATCACCAAAGACCCTAATCAATCCGAATACCCTCCTAGCAAACACATGTGACACACACATTTCCATGAGCACAAGTCTAACTTTACACATCCTATAAAGTAGCACCTAACTGGAGCTACATATCCTACTGCAGTCATTGAATAGATACATTTTTTTTCCTGAAA